CACCACAGTGTTCCCCCTGGCGAAGAAGTCTGAGGTGACTTCTACGCTGATCAGGTGGTTGCTCACCACCGAGACTTGTGGTTGCCGTGTCAGCTGTCTTCACTCCGACCGAAGGGGTGAGTTTCGCTCCAGCATTCTCGCTGGATTCTGTCGCGAGCAGGGCATTCGTCAGTCCTGGACGCTTCCAGAGTCCCCACAGCAGAATGGGGTTGCTGAGCGGCGCATTGGCTTGGTCATGGAGATCGCCCGCACCTCCTTGACTCACGCCCGTGCCCCCCATTTTCTGTGGCCCTACGCGGTTAGGTACGCCGCTCACCAGCTGAACCTTTGGCCACGTGTCTCTTGGCCAGAGGCTTCACCGACCAGTCTTTGGACCGGGTCCCCTGGTGCTGCGTCGCGTTTTCGTGTCTGGGGTTGCTTGGCTCTTGTCCTGTACCTTCGTACAGCCTTCCTTTGTTCTCGTCCACCTCGTCCGTCTCCGTCTGTGCTTCCGTCTCCTCCTGAGTCGGCCCTCACTGTGTCGCTTCCTTCTCCTGTCACTGACTACTACCGCACGTACCGTCCTGTTCTCTCTCGTGTTCTCGCCTCTCTTGTTACCCACCCTCGTGCCTCTGTGTCCTCTGTGTCCGCTCTTACTGCCGCAGTCACTGAGTTTGCCTCTACCCGCCGCCTTGACTTCGCCACCGCTCTTGTGGCTGCTCCTCCTTCCAGTCCTCTGGCCGTCGGGGGTGTGTCTGCCCTTGGCTGTGACGCCCTAGAGGACAGGCAGTTTGAGCTAGAGTTCCTGGCGGCCGCTTCCCCTCATCTCTGTGCCATGCTCCTCGCCCCTGAGGGTGACCCCGACGCCCTTGACATTCCGACTCCTCGCACTTACGCTGAGGCAGTGTCAGGGCCTTGGGCCTCTCAGTGGAGAGCTGCCATGGACGCAGAGATGGCCTCCTACAGATCCACAGGCACCTACGTCGATGAGGTTCCCCCTCCTGGGGCGAACGTAGTCGATGGCATGTAAATCTACAGGGTGAAGCGGCCACTGGGATCTCCTCCGGTCTTCAAGGCGCGCTACGTGGCTAGAGGTTTCAGTCAGCGCGAGGGAGTTGACTTCTTTCAGACCTTCGCGCCCACCCCGAAGATGACCACTCTTCGGGTGTTACTGCACGTAGCAGCACAGAGAGACTACGAGTTACACTCTCTCGACTTCTCCACTGCGTTTGTTCAGGGTAGCCTACACGAGGAGGTCTGGCTGCGTCGTCCCTCTGCCTTCACTGGCACTTTCCCTCCTGGGACCCAGTGGAGGCTGAGGCGACCGGTCTACGGTCTCCGTCAGGCTCCTCGTGAGTGGCACGACACCCTTCGTTCTACTCTCGCTGACCTTGGTTTTCAGCCGTCGTTTGCCGACCCGTCGCTGTTCGTTCGTCGTGGCTCTACACCATTCTTTGTTCTAGTCTACGTCGACGACCTGGTTTTCGCCACTGCTGACAGGGTTGCCTTGGCAGACGTGAAGTCCGAACTGCAGAAGAGACACACCTGCACTGACCTTGGTGAGCTGCGTCACTACCTTGGCCTGCAGATCACCAGGGACAGAGCTGCTCGCACCATTACACTTTCACAGTCACACATGGTGCAGCAGGTCCTTCAGCGGTTCGAGCTTCAGCACTCCACAGTACAGCGCACACCTCTTGCTGTTGACCACAGACTCACTGGACCCTTTCCTGACGAGCCGTTTGAGTCCAGTGGTCCCTACGCAGAGCTAGTGGGCTGCCTCATGTACCTGATGACTTGTACTCGCCCGGACCTCGCCTTCCCTCTCAGCGTCCTTGCTCGCTTTGTTGCGCCAGGGAGGCACCGTCCTGTTCACTGGACGGCAGCTGTGAGGGTGGCGAAGTACCTAGCGACGACATCAGGCGTGGGGCTAGTTCTTGGAGGGCAGCAGCCTGTCGTACTTACTGGTCACTGTGACTCTTCTTACGCTGACGACGCTGAGACTCACAGGTCTACTCAGGGTTACTGTTTCAGCCTGGGTTCTGGAGCTGTTTCCTGGCGGTCCACGCGCTCCTCTTCGGTCTCGACCTCTACAGCTGAGGCTGAGATCTACGCTGGTGCCATGGCGGCACAGGAGCTGCGTTGGTTGACGTTCTTGCTCGCTGACCTTGGTGAGCGGCCGAGCTCTGCACCGACCTTGTTCACTGACAACAAGGTGTCGATTCTCCTCTGTCGTGAGCCGCGACTGGAGAGCAGAGTGAAGCACATTCACGTCAGGTACTTCCTTCTGCGAGAGTTGCAGAGACGTGGACAGGCTCGCTTCGAGTTTGTGGAGTCCGAGGCCAACACTGCAGACATCTTCACCAAGGCGCTTCCGCCTTGTGACCACCAGAGGTGTTGTGTGCAGTTAGGCCTTGTTGACACAGGTTCTAGTCGTGTATAGGCTTGAGTTTACTGTTTGCTTTGCTTGTACTCTTGCTATACACACTTGTGAACTCTTGGACTGGCCTTGTGGCCACTGTTGCTTGTGCTCAGAGTGTGTGGTGACGTTGTGATCCACCCTGAGCTTTGTCTCTTTGTGACTGGTCTTGTGACCGTACACTTTTGGTTTTGCTAGACACCCCTCACTTAGGCTATGGGGGTGTGTCAAATGTTGTAGCCTGTAGTGAGGTTTGTCTTAGGGGGTACAAATGTTAGGGTTTGTTATATGTACCCCAACTCACATCAATGACATCATCAGTTCCTTTCTTGACACAGAACTGACTACAGCTTTTCTTCAACACTAAGCAAAATCAGTTGAAGAGAAACCCAGCGATCCCTTGAATCAAAACGCATAAGCCCTCAACTATATAAACAAACCAAGATGTGGTAACTCAATTCTTCACATCCCAAACATCAGGAGCGAGACGGCTGCAACAGCAGCAGCTCCATAGAGGATGGCAGCAGAAATGAGCATGGAAGGAGCAGATGCCGCCGGGGTTTTAGGTGCTGGGACTGGTGCTGCTGCTGGCTCTGCAGCTGGCGCTGGTGCTGCTGCCGACGCGGGCACTTTGGAGAGTGCTGCTGACCCTGGAAAACGGGTGCAAATATAGATGAAGGTTAGACGGCGGTAAAGCATACTCTGCAAAGCATACGTATCCAGTCAACCAGAACTTGTTTCGCAGGCTCATTCAAGAACCGGTTTGGTTTGGCATCGACCTTATGCTTGCTTCTGTGCAGTCAAGGCAGCATGGAGCTTCTTACATGCACGGGGCGTGCAGGAGGAGCAGAAGGAGGAGCAGAGGCGGCAGAAGCTGGAATTGCTGGAATGCTGCACCACACACTTGCTGCCCTCTGCAGGACATGTCAGCCGTGTGCCTGAGATGTTCCAGGGGAGGGGAGGGCGGGATGGAGGCAAAATATGGGAGAAGGGAGGACACATGTTACATCTCACAATTGCAAATCATGTGTGCATCTGTTCACTATCCTGTGTTCCTTCATGAACTACCACCAAATTTCTTGGACAGATGTGTCGTGTCGTACTGCACGACTGGATGACCCTCGCAGCTGATACGGTACGGTATGATGAGTACAAGTCTAGAACGGTCTGCGTATCGTAAAGCTTATGGCCAATGTCCGATTTCAGACTTTGCCCAGCACAATTGTTCTGCATTGACGGTGGAACACGAATCAACGATTGTACGAGGAGCACAGTGCCTCCGCTCCATGGTTAAATGCCCAGCATGTATGAGTATCTCGCAGGTGCAGCTCATTAATATGGTTCTTCTGATTCTCGCTGACAGCTTTAGGCGAGTTCCTTTTGATAGTCACTGAACTGCCACAGGGTAACGAACTTGCTGCTTCGTGCTGTGCTGCCGATTCAGATTTCATGTTGTATGAGATTCGTCATTTCACGTGAGTGTAAGCCGAATTCCATGTGAGCACCGAGTTGAATGATGTAGCATGTGCCACAGAAGAAGACTTTTCAGGCGCCTCAAAAGCACCGAGTTGAATGATGTATGTAGCATGTGCCAGAGAAGAATGCAAGCAGGCAGAAGAAGAGGTCAGTCGACACGGTCAAGGTTCCATCAATGTGAGAACCACGTGATCAGGTAGGGGAAACTGGGATGCTACCGATGGGTAAGGTAAGCAGGAAAGGTGGCAGTTGTAAGAGCAGTGTCGGGAAAGAAGTCTAAAGCAAACACATAGCAGTCACATTTAGGATTGTGATGGATGGGTACAGGTTGTGGTACTCACAGGGACGTCAGCTCGATAAGTCTACCCAGGCCTGCAGGTATGGGCCCACTCAAGTTGTTGCTTCCAAGGCCCCTGCCATGCCATACAATGCGATGCCAGGCCGTGCCATGTCATGCCGTGCCATGTCATGCCGTGCCATGCCATGCCACGCCATGGCAGCATATGTATGCCAGCACGGGTAACACGGTGCACCAGCTTTCCACAGCGGTGAATGCGCAGCTCAACATAGTACAATGCAACAGCAGCCAGCCAGATTCGCAGCAGTGCCACCCCAGCTAGTTATTGCTGTCATTCTTTGGCTGACACAAAGTGTGCTGACACAAAGTGTGCTGACACAAAGTGTGCTGACACAAAGTGTGCACGAAGATTTGAGACGCCCCTGCTTCAAGGCATCAAGGTAGCGTCGGTGGCTCTAAGAGCATCCCTACGTCACAACAGCACCCTCTTTCCTGATCAAGAAAGCTGCTGTGGTGCACAGGTGCTGCAGCGTTGCAAATTGGACGATGAATCTAGGAAGGGATGGATTCAGGGAGGTCGCTATAGCGTTTTACAGCAGCGCCACCCTAGATAATTCTGTCATTCATTGGACTGTCCCCAGATAAAGGGATTTTTTGAAGCACCCCAGTGTCCTCAAGAGAATCTTTGAAGCACCCCTGTTTTAAGAAAGCGCCCCTGCTCAACTCAAGGCACCAATATCGCAGCAAGGCAGCGGCCATGCCTTATTAAAAGCCATCCCTGCTTCACCACAGCACCTCTGCGTCGTGCTATAAAGGGTTGTTTGCGGCTCACAGGTGCTGCAGCGATGCAAGGCGGGTGATGGAGTCAGGGAGGGAGCCATTGAGGTTGTTGTCACTCACATCGCTGGGAATTGAGTGGGGCAGGGTCGCAGTGGGTGAGTTGAGTGGGACGGTGAAGGAAGGGAGAGAGAGTAAAAGGGGAGAGAGAGTAAAAGGGGAGAGAGAGTAAAGGGGAGAGAGAGTAAAAGGGGAGAGGAGGTGAGAAGGTCGAGGAGGATCATTTGAAAGATGCCAGTTTGCTCATAATGTCTGGTAGCTTTTGAACAGTCTGAGCTAGCCATTTAAAAAGAAATCTCACTGCTCCTGCTGCGCTCATTGAGATGATGAACAAGCGGCCAAGAAGACTAGAAACAAGACACGACCTGGTGCTCACGACCTGGTGCTCACGCACGACCTGGTGCTCACGCACGACCTGGTGCTTTTGCATATAAGCTGGTCTTATCTTCCGTTTTCTACAACCTGGTGCTCACGACCTGCATCTCGTTTGAAATTTTTGTGGAAGGAGGAAGTGGAGACAAAGGTAAGAGAAGAGTGAGAAGCGTACAGGTCAGTGAGGGCGGTGAGGGCGGAGATGGTGGAGGGGATAGAGCCAGTGAAGCCATTCAGACCGGCCCTCCTGGAGAGGGGAGGGGAGGGGCAAGAAGAGGAGAGGCGCACGCACTGGTGGCTGGTGGGAAAGGCGTATGAACTTGGGGATAGAATAGATCCATACACTAGGTAATGGGCTCAAGGCAAGGCTCTTAAGTACATCCGGAATGGGCAAAAGGTGAATGGGTAGCAAATCGGGGGTGATTTTGAAATGAGACTGGCTGAAATCTCCTACGGGCGGGTTGGGCCTTTCAGTTGATTGCATCTGGGTAGGGTTGTGATGTTGCTATTACACCCGACCCAGAAAAACTTCATATACACTAAACTAGGAAACAAAGGGGTACAAAAGGATGCGACTGAAGGCTGACTTCAAGACACAAGGCAGTGGGCTGAGTGGCAATGGGAGAAGAGAATGTAACAACGGAATGGTTGGTTAGTCGTCTGGGCGGCTCAAGGTGTCAAACCGCAAAAACGGTGTGTGTGTGTGTGTTTCACATGACAGGGTGGATGGCTCACAGAGTCGACAGGGCAATGTCATGTGAACAATGGAAGAGTCAGCTGAGCAGTGAGGAGCTCAAGGTGTCAATCCAGAACGAACGGCGTGCATGTGACAGGGTGAATGGCTCACAGAGTCGACAGGCCTGTGAGCGCCATCCATTCGGTGGGGAATGGTGCAACGCGGTGGACATCAAAGCTGCCAGTGACATCCCTGCAGGGTGATCAAGGGCAGGAGGGTGGGGAAGAGGCACGGAGAGCTTTAGCTCGTGGAGGGGGGCCATGGGGAAAATAGTTGGTGGAGAGGAATGGTATAGGGAAAGAACTACAAGTGGCACCAGCAAACACTTTGAATATATCCCTCTAGCCATTGTGCCTTTCTCTAGCCCCATGTATTGAAAGCAGCGTGAGGGAAGCATGAGGGAAGCTCTCGAATGGAGGCGGCACAAATCATTCAGGGACAAGCTTGAGCAGGTTGTAGCAAGCCTTGGCAAAGCTCCAGGAACGAGCAATGCAAGCAGAGAGTGAATGCGCAAGTGCCAAGTCTGTAGTGAGTCACACGTGGTGCAGGGGGAGAAGGGAGACCGATCACACATAACGGACGTGCAGTGCACTGGCCTCTGTTGAACGAGTTGCAAGGAACGATAGAAAGTGCTGATGATAGTTGGGGCCGAGTCTATTTTTGAGACGCCTAATAAATAGACGTACCCCGGACTCTACTGAACGAGTTGCGAGGAACTTCAGGAAGGGCTGATGATAGTACGGGCCGAGTGGGGTTCCAACTTCCACTCACAAGTAGGTGAGCCTGGAAAGTGTACTGATCCATTGTGGTAAGCGGGTGATGTGAAGGAAGCTTAGGTCACTGCCACAGAGGGAAGAAGAGAGGGGGGAGTGAGGCCGAGCACACCCCTAAGCTCCTGCTGAGCCCTGCCGGTTCGATGATGGGATGTCTTGATGTTTTATAGAAACATGTTAGTTCTTATTAAAAGGAAGTACCTAACAGATGCGTTGCTGCTAATCTCGAACTGTGTCACAATGATACGAATATGAGATGCGTTGCGTTCAACAAGCAAGCACATGCCCAAAGGCTAACCTAGCGCACGTCAACTACGACAGCAATATCATCATCGTGCTTTGGTGGTTACCAAACAGATGCATAAAACAAGGGACCGAACAATACAAGGCATGCACTCAAGGAGCGGGGAAGAAGATCACGAGACTTACAGATGCCTGAGTGAAGTAAGTGCAGAGAGAGTGGAAGGAAGCTCCCCAGCAGTCAGGTTGAGATTCGTGAGGGTGCTGAGGAGAAGTGAGCATGAAAGACAGAGGAGCACGAGGGAGGATGAACGACAGAGGAGCACGAGGGAGGATGAAAGACAATGGTGGCGTGGCGTTGACACTTGACTTGAGAGCTAAGAAGCAAGGAGAGTGCGAGTGAGTGAGGCCTTGAGGTAGATGACAGGCTTTAGCCTAAACCCAAAACCCGAAACCCTCACAAGCATGGACATGTGGAATGGAATGTGGGAGAGTGGAGCTCTTGGGTGGGTGTCCCGCGGTTGCAGGAGGATTTGATTCCATCGAGATATGAATAGGAGCACTCGTTGTCTGTTTCCATGAATGAGATGACTTCTGAGTCGACTCAAAAGCCACTTAGATTGGTGCTGTGGTTAGCAGGAGGCTTGATTCCATGAGTGATGTTGCTGATGAATTGACAGCTGAGCATTGAAGAGGAACTAGCACTGGCAAAGCGAGAGCGGAAGGCGGGGGAAGGATGGTAGAGATGGCGGCGTGCTGAGTACAGTGTCTGGAGGCGGGTGAGTGGGGCGAGACACGAGAGGTCGTCCATGGAGCCTTGCATCACAGGGGGACCCATGGAGGACTGATTCACGGGCATGCTGCGAGAGAGAGACAGACAGCGGGAGGAAGGGATATGGAGTAGCATGATTAGCTTTCTGTGGTTTGCGTGGGATTGAGCAAGGTGGGGAATGAGAGGCACTGAGGCATGTGAATGGAGGAGCTTTGACAACACGGCTGACATTGTCATATGAGCTGCCCTGCTTGCTGCACTGTGCCCTTCAGAACAAGGTGATACGTATTATAGGTACTAATCAAGGTGCTGTGCATCGCAGTAGCAAGGACTAGCATCTCAAACACCGCATGAACCACCAAACACCTGCCCAGACAAAATACTGCATTTACCAGCCACCCGTGCCATGCTGAAACAGCTGTTGCAAATATCTTGCACACAACATGCATGCACCATAACACTCACAATGACTTGCACCAACAGGCAACAAGAGCCCCCACCGTGCCCATTCATCTCACTCTGCTGGGTAATCCTCCTCAACATATGGATCAGGATAGGGTTGAGGCATCCACTCAACAGCAGGCACATCAACGGGCCTGCGCATTTGAGCCATGCAGAGGAAGAAGAAAGGGGCGTGGGTTTTAGAGTTGTTTGTAGATAAGGGGGGACATGCGGCACAGTGAGGGATACGTTGAGAGCAGAGGGAAAAGCAAGCACTAGTGCCCAGAATTCCGCGACACTCATTCAGGTTCAGCGCCGGCTCAGCCGGAATTGGCCCACCCTAGGCTGTATGTAGGCTGTCAAGAGCATCATGCCGTGGATGACCCAGCAGCATACTACCAAGGCTTCTCGGCTCACAGACGTCATGAGCTGGAGGAGTTGTGTTACGAGGGTGAACATGACGGGATGCGATTGCAACGTGTGTTTGGATTTCCGAGTTTTAGAAATCACTCGTGACAGGCTGCAACTTTCTTGTTCTGGATTCGTCATACTCTTATGCATGCACTCGCTCATACCACCCTTTCTTGGATGAACTATTATGGAGTGCACTTTCGGTAACCCACATGCACAGTGGGTTAATAAGGCTTATAACTATACTTGAGAAAAAAAACCCACAGAACCCAATTCCTTCAATGTCAAATAACGGTCAGGTCGACTCGACACGACCTTGGTTCTACCCTAACCCGACCTCTTGCACTCCCTGCCAGGTTGGATAAGAAGGTTGCGACCCAGATTTGAGTCGAACCGACCGACATGTTACCGGGCTCGGCTCGAGCATACCGGCCCGACCCATTGCTTGTGTCTAGGAGGAAAATGAGAGGAGAAGGTTTTAGGAAGGAGGGGGTAGGTAAGGGAGTGGATTTGTATTAAATTTTGGAAGTTGGATAACGGGTCCTAAAGTGGTAGTAGGTTGCACACTGCCTAATCAGACTCTTGAGATGCACTCACAGGTGCCACCACACGCCTGCCCACACACAATTGAGTCTTCTGTAGCCCCGCACACACACTATCCCTTATGACAGTGCTGCAGCTTACGCAAACAGCAACCACCAAAATGGCAATTTCACACATTGTGTCTAGCAGGATGCATCATGGTTGCACTGCCAGGCAGCAAGCAAGAGCCCCAACATATCCATCAGTCTCTCACTCTGTTGGTACGGCGTAATCTGCATCAAACATCGAGGCATCCATCGGAGGCAAACCAATGAAGCTGCAAGTTGGGGGGCGTGCATGGGTAGGCAAAAGGAGGTGGGGAAAGGGGTGCTCATGCAACAAACTGACCGGTGCGGTGCGAACAAAGAGCACCAACGGTTGAGAAGTGGAGAAAGCTCAAAGCAAGAATGAACATTTACACGCATAGTAAGCGATGTGCATGGAAGCAAGGAGGTGGAAGAGGAGAGAAGCGAGGTTTAGGAAGAAGAGGGGGTAGGTACAGGGATTTGAGTGCAGTGAAGCGACTGATGTTGCACAGGTGACTTCCATTGAGAGCCGCACCCACGAGGTTACTGTGATGATGGCACGCATGCAAGTTTATGTAGAGAAGTGCATGCCAGCAGGAAAGCACATGAGCTGGGACGTCACTGAATGAGAATGAATTTCGGTAGTTGGATAAGGACTGTTGACAAAGGAGTCGGCTGCCTAACCAGGAATTACGCACGCACGCACGCACGCACGCACACACGCACACACGCACGCACGCACGCACGCACGCATGCACGGGCGCGAACGTGCGTGGGCGCTTGCACACATACACACGCTCGCTCACATTCACACTAGTGGCATGGTTGCATTCATTTCTTCAATGCCTTCACTGTGTCACACAAAAGGCATGCAATGCAAGTCCACAGTAATCCAACCCACAATCTTCCCAGCATGTTCCCATGGCACGACCCTTGCAGTGTTCCTTCTCTTCTATTATCCATGCACCACATGCACTGCCCTTCAGAGTCGATTCATAAGTCAACTTTTGTGTCGACTCTGAACTGAAGTCACCCTCTTCTACCTATGCACCACATGGACTTCCCCTCTCTCCCCATTATCACTTCCGTCTTCTCCACTGGACAGAACTCACAGGGAAGTAACCATGCCTTGTGGATTACAGTCCGCATATGCATCCTCTGTCGCCCACTCATCGCACATCACACTTGATAGGTTGTGCTTCAACGGGGCCCATTCTCGGTCCAGGGCCAACAGCGCTTGCACTGGGGGGTGGAGCGGTAGAGGAAGGACGGAGGTACAAGAAAGCAAGGAAGAGCTGAATCTCAGTATTCATCCACCAGCCTTTATGATAGTTATTGTGAAAATCTATCGCTGGTTGTTCTTAAAACATGTCGGTTACACCTGTAAGTGACGATTCTCTACTAATCAATCGTTTGTTGGGGCTCTTTTGTTCGACTTCAACACTAGTAATCACAAATCTTCTTTGCTGCATGACTCCCGTTGCAAACAGAAGCGGCTTCGTATACACACACACACACCCCCCTCCTCCCCCCACCCCACTCCACTCCCCTTGTGGTTTGTTATGAGCACTTGAAGTCGCAACACTGCAATTTTTGCAGGCCAGTTTTGAGCTGAAAACGTTGAAAATCTACGTTCTACATCACCAAGTACGGGTCAGGTATACCTACAAACTTTATTTCTGACCCCAAAGTTTATTTGGGGCGACTTTCAGGCTAGCTTTGGGCCAGATTAGGGTCAAGGTCAGGTTTGGGTCAGTCACATTTTGGTGATGCAAACAGGAACTTCCAAACAGTTTAAGTGCCACATGATTCGTAACACACGGTGATGCATATTCGACTGCAATTCTTGGATGATTTACTACGTTTGCGCAGCTCAACATTACTTATCTCAAGAAAAGGCTATTCCCCCCGACTCATCCTAATTTCGTTGGAATGCGGCTGAAGTTGTAGCCTCTGCACAGCCATACATGATCATCCGGAGACAATATGATGTTGCTCACGTTGCGATGGTTGGAGCTTGATGCGCGCCTGACTCGGCGTCACGGACGCGGCAGCTTGGACTCCAGCAACAATTGGGAGACCGTCCGGCACACGGTAAGCACTACTAGCAGCGGACGCGAGAAGCATGACGACGACCACCACGCGACAGGCAAAGATCGGGACAAGTGTCGAGTTTCGCGCCATGACAGTTGAGCCTCAACTGGGGGAGAGATATGGCGGCAAATGTGTATCGGAAAATTTTCTGCTGTGCTAAGAAGCAACTTTGTTGAAGAAACCTGCTGTCACATAGCCAACGTTGCATGACAGAAATCGGAAGTTTGCGCGGGCTGTTATCACCTTAACTGACTAGGTCCAGCCCAGTCAAGTGAGGTCAGGGCTCGTCAGTTACAGCGGAATCACTTCACTGTTGGATAAGATTTGCTGGTGCAGCAGTCCGTCGTGGAGACGAGATGGGTGGGATGCGGTACCTCACAAATGGAAGCTCAAAGCCCGACGCGATTGTGTTGCGTTACAACCACGAATTTCCTCATCAGTAAAAAGATTGAGTGGAAGAAAGAAACAAATATTATTCAAGCAATAACTCATCCTGAACGCTCGCCATGGCTAACATAACCAGCTTAATGCACTAACGGAACTTATATTACAAACCCGAAATGAAACCACCACAAATGGCCTCAACCTGGTTGACATCACGATCCAAACCTCGTCGCCCTCACATTCTAAACTCAGCTACCATCATGTCGCCAAACCTTACCGCCCTCACATTCCAAACCTTGCAGCCATCTCGTACGTCACTTCACCTCCCACTCATTCACATCCGTGCATCCACCTTGTAGGGGCCTCCACCCAGAGAGCCCCACCCTCCATCTCGACGTCGTCCTTCTCCCTGTCCACCAAATTCACGTTCGTCCCTCCCACAGAAGACGCCACACGAAGCAGGATGATACGAGCTTGCGCCCGTTGTAGCGCCACCCCGATGAGCGCCTTCAAAGACCCCAAAAGATAAGCCGAAAACGAATGGCCATCCTCCCGACATGCCCCTCGAGACACAGCTAGCCCCAAGTGTGGATCCCCCTGCTGTCGAAGCCACCGCCGAAACCGACCGCCTAGACACCCCCACGTCTCTACTATCAGAGGGGTGAACTGCACACCCGGGTTGCGTGCAAGCAGAGGTGTGTAATCGCCCGTCTTGCTACACTCCCACTCCCTCGTCGCCACACCTATGGAACGCCCGCACTGCCCTAGCAACGATGGAGACAGCGACAGCGGGTCCGCGACGTTAATCTCTAGAGCGTGAGCCTCCAGCCATTGGTCGTCGCACCGCTACATCGACCCGCTTCCCCGGCAGCACCACGCTATCCTCCATTGTCACCACCCCCCTTGACGCCTTAGCAATCCTCGCCACTGCAAACTTCACCTCGTCATGCACTCGAGATGGACCGTGCTGGTGCTTGCATCTCAGGGCATGATGCGGGTCTGCTGGGTCATCATACGCTGTGCCACAAACACACCGCTCTGCTGGATCGGAAGCCCAAGCCGTATAGCAGCAGCGATGCCCCACTCAGCCGCGGTGAATGTGAGCTCTGAATGAGTCGGGTCCACCGAAACCCATGAACCAGCCCCCGGGCCCTGAAGGGATGTGAAACGGGCCAGGGTGGCATCGTTACGCGCCAAGCGGCGCAACGCCTGGAGCTCCTCTACAGCCAACTGCCGCTGCCGCGCCTGGAAAAGTCGTAGTGGAGGGGCCGCTACGCACAGAGGTAGGCCCGGCATCTCCTGGCGCACGGTCGCAGGCAGCTGCTTAAGGGCCTTAGCAAACCACGGATCAAGAAACTCCGCCCCGGCCGGAGTGTTGAGGTAATCTGAAAACATCGCCTCCTCGCCCGCCACCCCTAGCTGTGCAATATCACGCACGGCTTGCACCCATCCACAAACATAGGACGTTGGGCTCAAAGAAGCCGCCGCCCAAATCCCGAACCCTCCAAGTCGCACGGGGAGGTGCAGCTGCATGCGTGCGCGCCTAGACATGTCGGGGTCCTGCTCCCAAGTGCCAGGTGGGAGAGCTACTCAAAGCAGTCCTCCAGGCAGCTATCCCAATCCCTAAAGGCCTCCATCACCTCCGGCCGCGGCGGCATAGTCGGGGCGAGGTACATCGGCCGCACTGAAACTGCAATGGCGAGGAGATGTGAAGCCATCTGGGGGTGATCGAGCAGGGGGAGCCATGGCAATGGCGCCTGCAACTGACGAAGCCGCTCTCGCAACCGGGCCACCTCCCAAACCTCTTCCCCAATGGGCACGCCCACCACATTGAGGCCCTCTTCCACCCGCTGCATCCCTAATGGCAGTGCCCGTTCCGCATCTAAATCTTCACGCTCCCAAACCGGCACTTGTGCGCCTGCACCTCCAGCCCCACCCACTCCAACCGCTCTCGCAGCACCCCAAAGGCCTCCAAAATTCTAGCCGTTGGACCTAAGATATAGGTATCGTCTGCATAACTCAGGAAAAGTAAGTCCGTGAACTCTCTAGTAACCGGCTCCATCACCTGTTGCAGCGTGAATGCGAAAAGAAAAAGGCTGAGCGGGTCCCCCTACCGCGATCCCCGTGCCGACGCGAGGCTCTTCACAAAAGGGCCCATAAAAGACACGCAAGAATGGGATTAACCCTGAGAAAGGCGACTCCCGCAACCCCGCGAACATCGCATGACGGTGAAACGAGTTGAAGGCATTCGCGACGTCTATCTGCAGCGCACACCAGTCGGGGTGAGTGACAAGCGCTGACCGGAAAGCATGGGTGAGAATCTCTACTCCCGCCCTGGTGCCCGCTCCCAACTGATTGCATGGTAGAAAGTAGGAAGCCATCACCGGGCGGAGGGCGGAGCGAGATGCAGAGAGCTCGAGCAAGAATACGCGGAAGCGCTTCCCCAATAGCTACCGGCCTGACGTCGCGGTTAGGCTTGGAAAGCCCAACTAGGTTGGATGCGACGAGCCAGGGCCGAGCTCGCTCGGGGACCTGTCCCGCCACCCATTGGTTAAACACCTCCAGCAGATGGGAAAGGCAAGGGGGCTCTGTGAGGAAGGTGTCACGCAGATGCTCCGTGACCCACCCCGACGGACCCGCAGCTGAAGCTCGAGCGGCGGTATGGATAGCTCTGGCCAGTATGTCGGTCGTGAGCATAGGCCACTGAGGAGCATCAACAGTGAAATCACGGACCCATTCTGGTACCTCGTCAGCGCTAGCAGGGTGCTTCCTTTGCAGTGACTGCACCATGGCTTCAGACGTTCGAGCCATCTCGCCTGCCGTGAGGCAAGCCAACCCACGGCTCCAGTCTCCCACCTTACACCGAGATCGGCAACGCGACAGACGGATAGCATCGGGGTCCTTGTTGGAG